GTCCTGAAGTGTTTCCTTTTCCTATAGCAGTTTCCATGTTTTTAGTTTTAAATTTAGTCTCTGATCTAATTTGAATTGATTTTTATGCATGGTAAAAAGATGTACTTCATTTTCCATAGGTGGGTATCCAATTTTGCCAGGCTGTCTCTTTGTTAGTTCATTAAAAATAATTGTCCAAATTAGATGTCCACAGCAATGTGGGTTTATATTTGGACCATCTATAACATTCTACATGTTTGTTTTTATTTCAGTAGCACAATGCCTTTACCACTATGGCTCAGTAGTATAATTTGAGGTTAGGAAATGTGATGGGTCTGGTTGTGTTCTTTCTGTTTAGTTTTGTCTACTTGGTCTTTTGTGTTTCCCTATGAATTTTAGTTTTTCTCTGTTTCTGTGAAGACTGTTATTGGAGTTTTGATGAAGAGTCCCCTGAATCAGTAGATTGTTTTTGGTAGAGTAGTTATTTTCACAATATTGATTCTGCTAATTCAGGAGCACAGCAAGTTTTGTTTTTGTTTTACTTTTGTTATGTATTGTCTTCAGTTTCTTTTTTTTTTCAGTGCCTTACAGTTTTCACTGTAGACATCTTTCACTTCCTTCATTAGGAGTATTCCAAGATATTTTTTTTTTCTTTGAGGCTACTGCAAACGGCATGATTTTGCTGTTTTGTCTGTTGTTGGTGCACAGAAACGTGATTGATTCTTGTATGCTGTGAAGGGATTTATCAGGTAAGATAAAGATATTTATACTCAGAGATGCTATTAATTGCTGAAGGTCAGACTCAGTCAAAAAGCAGATGAGTGGGATTTAGAACCTTCTCTTTCAATCTCAAGTTTCCACCTTCTACTTCCTAAAAATCACTATCTCTAAGTTCTTTCTGTAGTAATTAAAAATTAACATATATAAGGAGGAAATATACCCAACGGTATATTAATCTTCTTTTAAATTTGCATCTCTCTAGTTGCAAATAATCAGAAGCTACAGAGGTGCATACAAGGCTAAAAATACACATAAGAATATGTTTGTGGGTAGAGAAGAATGAGAAAAAATATGAATGACATAGAACCAGGTAAAATCAATTCAATAAGGTCTTTTAAAATTGAAAGGGGCTAGCTACATATTTGTCTCTGAAGGTGAGACATAATAGCTTGAGGAAAGAATTTTAATCAGTCACTTTTTTGGTACTGAAAATGAATAAAACAATCTTTTCTTGGGGACTCTGTGTAGTTAATATCAACAACATTAAATAACACACATTGAAGATTTTAATATAAACTTTTCTTTAAGAGTTTTCAAATATTTATTTACGTATTAATGTGTGTGTGTGTGTTCTCAAGCATATACACCATGGCACATGAGTGGAGGTCAGAGTGACACATTGGGGCAGTTAGTTCTCTTCTTTTACAGTGCGGATGTGAGGCTTGACAAAAGCCCCTTTATCAGCTGAGCCATCTAGCACTCACCAGAACAAAGGGCACTGATGTACTGGAGTTGGTTCTGAACAGTGAAATGGGGCTAAGAATGAAACTCAGGTCCTCAGGAGGAGCAGCAAGTGCTCTTTTACTGCTGAGCCGCCTCTCCAGTACCTGGAACAAACCTTTCTCACAAGAAAATTATTTTAAATATCTTGATGTAGGCCCAACTATTATGTTTGTCACAGTCTAGGATAGAAAACACAACTAATTTGGGGTAGGTATTAGTCAGGCTTAATTAAAAAACTAGAGTAATCTAGATCAAGCTGAGCATAAAATACACATTACAAGGTAAAACAGACCGTATGCCCCTTAAGTCATATTTCTCATAAACAAGCTTGTGAATATAACAAGTCAGAATTTATTCCAACAAGAACCTAGAATACAGGAATCTCAGGTCAGAGTCACCTTGGTGGAAAAGCATGCAGAGGTAAAATTAACTTCTTATGGAAGTTTAGGGGGCCTAAAGATGACAGACGTCTGATTTTCAGATTTTTTTTTGAGGTGAGTTGACAGAGATAGTGTATAACCAGCACTGATTTGTAAGAAAGTATGCAATACATGAGACATGGCTGAAATACAAACCTAAATTTTTCTTGTTTTGACATTTTTATTTTTAAATTATGTGTGTGTGCATATGCATGTGTGCATGTGGGTGCAGGTGTCTGTGAAGAGCAGAGGCTCGGACACTCCTGGAGCTTGAGTGAGTGATAGGCAACTGTGAGCTGCCTGACAACAGAACTGGGACTAGAACTCTAATCCTCTACATGAGCAGCATGCCTTCTTAACCACTGTGACATCTCCCTTGTCTCTCTTTGTCTTTGTTAAACAAGGGGTGTTGCTACAGTATTATAAGGTTATGGAACACTGTCACAGTGGTTCTTGGGGAAACACTGTTCTACCTATATTAGCTTATAAAAAAGAACAGTTTATAGTTTGTATAAGCACAGATATAGAAAAAGGTAGCAGCCTTAAGTATGTAAGAAAGTAAAAAGCCAACCAAACAACAAAGACACAGAAAAAAATGATCCAAACTCTATATAACTATTTTTTTTAAATAGCAGAGACTCATTCCATAGCCTAGACTGGCTTCAAACTATCATATCTGCCTCCACCTGCCTCAAAAGTGCTGGGATTAAAGGAGTGTGCCACCATTCTTGGCTCTCAGGAACTACTGTTTTAAAGACAAGTAAAAGTCCTCTTTGCAAAAGAGAATCAAACAACAGTACATGTATAGTTGCTCAACATATAAACTAAGTACTGAAAAAAGAGAACATAAAAGACTCTTAAATGTTCCCTCTGTAAAGGGAGTTGCAGAGAGAACTCCCTCTGCAACTGAAAAATCATTAAGGATTCTATTTTTAGTGCCAGATCAGGTGCTGTGATTTCCCACATATTATGGTTTTATCATTATAGCACTGTTAATGGAGATAGTTACAGAGAGGTTAAATGATAGTAAAACCCAGGCACCATGATCCTAAAGCTTCAATTGTTCCTGAGTTAATAATTGTCTTACCCATGCTAATTTATGAGACAAATGTGTTTACATTCTAAAACCTTACAAAGATTCAAAAGGGGAGATGGCTTTAATTTACTTAAAACCTATATCTATGTAAATATAATAAATGTATATAAATGGAAGGTTATAAAAAAATGAAAAGAGCTCCAGAGTAACAGAGAATTTCAGCACAAGTCAGATAGTATGACTGTGGAGACTGAGAGAAGAGACTGGATTAAAGGAGGTTTTTGAGACTGGGAAAGAGAGAAACACGTAGCGAGTACTAGAAAGGGAAACACAATTCTGGATGATGTAGTTTATTCAAGGATGTAGAGACAGGAGGCATGCCATGTGTCATTTGAAAATAAGGTCCATATGATCTGGCTGAGAGATTAGTGTCATGAAGTCTGCAAAGAAGGAAGACTAGAAAGAGGAAAGCAAAGTCTGAACCTTAAGAGAACATTCTTAGGGCTCTTGAGAAAGCAAATGTGAAACTGAGGAGGAAGTGCTCAGTGAACATGTCCTGAAACAGCCACTACTGCACATTGTTCAGGAGAACAAGAAACCACACAAATGAGCCCAGTGATTTTACAAGGAGAAACTAAAAGCAAGATGATACACTGCCTAAATGCAGCAGAGGTTCTTCTGGGAAAGTGATTTTAAAGTCACTTTTAAATATTTATAAAGATATAAAGATATATCTATATATATCTGAATGTAGCTGTCAGTCTGGGAACACAAAATTGTCTAAGTTCTTCAGAATACATATGTATATTTGCATTTAATACACACATATATATCTCCACCCCAATATCCATATATCTACAAACTCACACTCAGTGCCCCTTACAAATGGTGATAAAACATTCACTATTCAATGACATTGTCAGTTATCATCAACATTAGACACTTTTAAGGCTCTTTATTGGTGAATTTACATTTACTTATTTTTTTTAAACAAGAAAAAGAAGAAACAAGGAATGAGTGTTTCAAGTATCATATGGAAAAAGTAATGAGTGTTTCAAGTATCATATGGACTTCAAAATACAGAGTGAAGTAACATGTCTAAAGCATCACACAAATAAATAAAATTTTATCTCCATGGCACAGCACACTACTAACCCAAGTGTATTTTGTGGAAGTATGTTTAATGGCAATACTACTGCTCTTACTGGACAAAATCTTAAGTTCTTTCTATAGGGTTATATATATACATATATGTGTGTTTATATATATATATATATATATATATATATATATATATATATATATATATATACGCATACACACACACACACACACACATATATATATAAAACCATCCTTGATTTTTACTACCTAAAAAAGCTTCATATTTATTCACTTTCTGATTATGTGCTTGTGCCTTCATCACTTTCACAGTTTTCTGTTCCTCAATAAGGAAGCATGTTTGATTCTGTGTCAGACATACAGCACACATGGAGCCAGCAGATGCTCTGCTGAGGTGTTTGCTTTAGACTTTAGGTCTTAACAGTACAAACCCCTCCAGGTCTACCTGGGCACACATCATGTGGATTTTGGTGCTTTCTCAATATTGGTATAAACATAAACAATCCTATCCAGGGTTCGAGACAGCCTAGTTTCGTTAGAGGTGGTATTGTAGAAAAGCCTGTGACCAAATGTCAAATGAGGCTGGACCATCCTGACTGCTTCTGAGTACTGTCCCAGAAAGACTGTAAAGTATTTTTTGATTCATTCACATTTGTTCTGGTTCATTTCATTTGACTAGTCTCTTGTACAAACACACAGAAAAATAATTATTTAGGAAGAGCTGAAATTTGGGCTGAAGAGATGGCTTAGCTGTTGAAGGCTAAGGCTCACAACCAAAATCTGAACATCTTATAATTGTCATGACTATTTTTCATGCTAAAAATGTGGCTGCCCTTTCAGAGTACTTTTAAAAAAAGCAACAAAAATGTTCTATTAAAAGATGATCCTTAAGATTAGGATTTGAAACTAGATTTTCAGGCATATTTAAGAACTATACTTACCTTTGATTCGAGGTAGACATTTGCTGATGACATTTTTGTAATTTTGCATATGTAATTAACTAAAGAGATGGCACAGAGAATAAACAAGCTATCATTAATTAGTGCTCGAATAAACACAGTCCATTTCAACTGATTTTCTGGGATATCTCCATGGACTAGCATTGCACAGGCCAAGTTCACTGCTAAGAATAGAAGGCTTGCCAGTACAAAGCCCAGATGCAGTAGAATTCTGAAAGAAAAAAAAGTTTATTTGATGTTTATAAAACTACTGAGTAAGTAGCATTATTTCAGGTACAGTAATTCCGCTTAAAATGCTCATAATTTAATTAAACACAAACTTGATAATCTTCCAGAGTTACTGGCCTATCTGGTATTATGAACTTAGTAGATGAACTTCTTCAAAATGTCACAGATTGTAAAGCATTATTTTAAAAATAATCTCATGTATAAAAATAAATACTGATCTGTAGAGTTGAAAAACTATTGAACCATTTTATTACCATTTTGGGAAATCATGAATCTTTCATTTGTATAACTACTGAGAGCATTTGTATCGGCCTTTCAATTTCTATAGCAAACATTTTAAACTTGACCAAAACAGAACATAGGAACAGAACATGTAGTTCGCAAGAACTCATCATAAAAACTCTTGTAAGGTGTAGCTATCTGCACGAAGCAGCAGTTAACAGCTCTCTTGTGAAAATAATCCCAGGCCAAATATATTTGAACCAAGTTAAGTATGCGTGGTCCAACAGTTTACTTTGCATTCTAGCATCTTCTATTTTGGATTGCATTCAACAATAAGCATTATAAACCATCTGCCCTAAGAAATAATTTATAAGAGATAAATAGAAGGTAATCTGTAATTAGTAATAAGAAAACTTTGAGTATACAAGTGAAGCCAAAAAAAATTAGTTGGAAAGGTTACATTAAGAGGGACTGCCTCTGACATAATCTGATTGGCCTGCTCATTGATCACCTCCCCCTGAGGGGGGAGCAGCCTTACCAGGCCACAGTAGAGAACAATGCAGCCACTTTTGATGAGAACTGATAGACTAAGATCAGAAAGGAGAGGAGAACCTCCCCTATCAGTGGACTTGGGGAGTGGCATGTATGCAGAAAGGGGAGGGAGGGTGGGATCGGGAGAGGAGAAAGGAGGGGCTTATGGGGGGATACAAAATGAATAAAGTGTAATTAATAAAAAATTAAAAAAAAACTTTTTGGCGGGGATACAAAGTGAATAAATTGTAATAAATAAATAAACAAATAAATTAAAAAATAAAAAAGAAAAAAAAAGAATTAAAAAAATGCAGAAATAAAAAAACTTCAGGCAAACAGATTTCCTAGGCAAAGCAACATAGAAAGCATCAACAAACAGGGCCAGTGCTAAAAGCTGCTTCTCTGATCCCAGGATATCCATCCAGTCATGAACATAGAACAAAAATGCTCACTTTGTTTAATAAAAAAAATGGGTTGCTTTGAAACCTATCACATTTCTTTGTAAAAGTTTAACTATAATTCAAACTCAAAGACAAAAATAAATTTGATGGTATTTCATGAATTAAAAAACATTTTTGAGATAAATTATAAAAAAATAAAGCTAAATTAAAAGAAAAAAAAACATTTTTGCTGCACACAGTGGCACACACCTGTAATCCCAACACTCAGAGAGGCAGATGTAGGAGTATATCTGTGAGTTCAAGGCCAACCTGGTCTACATAATTGAGTCCAGAACAGCCAAGGCTGTACAGAGAAACCCTGTCTCAAAAAGACAAACAAACCGAACCAAAACAAAACAAAAATCCCCAAACCAAAACAGAAAACCCACAAAAAACAAAAAATGTTTTTTGATAAAGTCTTGCTAAGCAATCCAAATTATCTTTCTCCTGCTGTATCTCCTGTTAGGATTACAGCATGTGCTACCACACTTGGTAAAATGCTAAACCAAATATTAAAAGAATAGTCTTAAAACTTTAAATAAAAATGACCTTAAAATTAGATTATGTAGTGAATGAGAAACATGTAGTTTAAGAAACAAAGCATGAGAAAGTTGAGTTAGTAGGACAACTGAGCCTTAAACTCAAGTTTCTTGACTCATTTACTCTTTACTCTGTTGAGAGTAATCAGTACAGAAACATTGCTTAGCTCAGGAAACTGCTATACACTAGCTTTTGCATATGTGGATTTGTAGAGTGGCAGGTGAAAAAAAGGAGAAGTCAGGAGGGAAAGGGGTAAGGAGCAAAAAAGGGAGAAAGGGAGGGAGGGAATGAGCATGAGCATCACGGCTATCACAGCAGAAGGGATTTTCTCTAATGACTTAATTTTCTGTAAGACTGCAAAGGCAGTCTCAGCAATTCATTCTTTTCACCTTTATCAAATGACTGTAAAAAATATTTATTTAGGGGCCCTGGAGAGGCGGTTTAGCAGCTAAGAGCACTGACTATTCTGCCAGAGGATCTTGGTTCGATTTCTAGCACCCCCATGACAGCTCACTACTGTCTATAACTCATACATGTGGTACACAGATGTACATGGAGACAAAAAAAAAAAACCCAATATACATAAAGTAAATAAGTAAACTAGGATAATTATTTATCTGTTTTAGATAGAAAATTTGATACTCATGAAACTTACTTGTGTTTGTCAAGTTCAGTGGCACATCTGACTCTACATATAACCTATAAAGAGAGTATAATGAGTTTTGAAACATGTGTAACAGAATTTTTTCAATTTATTTTGACATTGTGCTTCAAATGATACAACTATACAGTTCAATGCTTTCAATTGAATTACTGTGAAACAAAAATAGGTACCCAAATACTTAAATTTCTACCTTAAATATCCAACAGAATTATCTTGGTTTAAACATGTATTGAACTTTTCCTATGAAGCACATACTGTGCTGGATGGCTTGCTAGCTATCCTAAACAGGTCTTTACATTAATTAGTTTGATTTTATGTGCTTGAGTGTTTTGCCTGCATGTCTGTCTGTGTCATGTGTGTGCCTGGCAACTTTAGAGGCCAGAGGACATCAGATCTATCAGCTGGAGTCACAGACAGTTGGGGGGTGTGGATGCTAAGGACTGAACACAGGTCTGCTGGAAGAGCAGACAGTGCTCTTAAACACTGAGCCACCTCTCCAACCCCTACCCTAAAGTATCTATTAGTCATGTTTTGTTTTAAAATAGAGCTTGTTACTTGTTATCAATATGACTATATTTTCTAAAGATCAATTCCTTACTGATGAACCTGACCTATATTCTTTAGATAATGGGAAGGGATTGAATGCTTTTATACAGATATTCCAAAGCATGGGGTTTTACTCATCTGGCATTAACGTACAGGAATACACAGAGGAAATACAGAACAGAGTGAACGACTAGTTACAAGATTGTTAAAATGTGGTATAAACTTTGATGGTTTGGAAAGAAAAACAAAATTTAAGTACTTGGGAGCTTACTGACTTCACTCAAATATTTCTTGAGCACTTACTACTATCCATGGTTTTTGATATGGTGGCATGTGTCCATAATCCCAGCAAATGGGAAGCATGGGTAAAAGCAGAATCATGCAGGGATTCTGGCTAACCTGTGTTACATAGTTACACTCTGTCTCAAAACAAAGACAAAAGAAAATAAAACAATGGGAAAAAAACAGATATCTCATGCTCTGTGTAAGGTGTCACTGATTAATAAACATAATTGCTATTTATATTTCTGAAGAAACTCATTGCATAAAAGCAAAAGAGAAACTATTTTGACATATTGTGGTACAAAGACAATGGTGCTATTATAAAATTTTGAAAGAGAATGAGTTCAGGAAAGAGTAAGAAATAAAGGAGATTATAGAGTGAGTCAGGGCTTCTCAAAGGAAGCAAGCTATGAAAGGTAAATGGGTGCTAAGCTTAGGCCTAGCCATATTTAATAGATGTGGCTAACATCCCACTATGTACCAGAAGTTCAGTGTATGGCATAGTCTCAAATATTATTCCATTAGTGTTTAAATTGTACTCCTGTACATCATTCTCAGATTTAGCCATTTTCTGTCTTCATTACAATGGATCATTTCAAGAGCTTTTAATTGATTTCTCTATGTCCACTATAACTCCATCTACTTCTTTAGAAGATAACTCTTCCTTTTTTATCATCTTTCTTTTTCTGTGTTCAAGTGATTTAAATTTGAAATTATGACATAAAACTACAATGTCACCATTTAAAAATATTTGCTCCAGTGGTATTCTGTATACTTAAACTACTATGCAACATCACCAGCCTCTACAACCTTTCCGTTTTTCAAGTCCACTAAAAAATTCCCCACTCTCCCATCTTCTAACCTCTGACAACCATTTTATTTCCATTATCTATAAATTTAACTACCACTTATATAACTTATATATTGGACTCATCCAACAATAATCGTCTGTGACTTAGTTTCCTTAGCACAAATGCTTTTAAGATTCATCTGTGACAGAATTTCTTTCCCCAAACTATTAATATGTGTATTAATATATAACTTTAATACACAATTAATACTTAAGTAATAAATAAAATACATAAACTTGATTTATGCATTCACTCATCATTGACATGAATGTAGCCTCTATATCATTTTTTTGGTGAATAATGTTGCTATGAATATCTATGCTCTGTATAAAATTTTAAAACATCATTTGGTAGTGATGTCTTAAATACTTCATTATACATTTCCTTTTAAAAGTAAATTCACATATATCTACAACACAATTACAGATATTATCTAGTTTAAAGATTTATTCTAGGGTCTTCATGTGTGTGCGTGCAGTGCCAGGGCATAAGATCCCCTGGAACTAGAGTCACCGATGGTTGTGAGGCACCCTGTGGTCCTGGGTCCTCTGCAAGAGCAGCAGGTGCTATTATCTGGTGATTCGCTACCTCTAGCTTCATTAATATAAAATTTAATGTTGTAACAACTGTATTTTAAAAGTTATGTTCAGCTTCTAATTGTGTCTGTGTGTTTTGTTTTTATGCATGTATCTGAGCCATGTGCCTGTAGAGGTCAGGAGTGGGCACTGAAATGCTTGGAACTGGAGTTCTGGATGGTTGTGGTGCCTGGCACTGTCCCCAGGTCATCAACAGAGCAACAAGTGCTCTTAACCACCAAACCAACTCTTTAGCCAATTTTTTTTTTTTTTTAAAGATAGTGTGTCACTATTTATTCTTGACTGGCCAGAACTCTCTATATAAACTAATCTCACAGAAATCTTCTTGCCTCTGCCTTCTGAGTGCTAGAATTAAAGGTATATAACATTATTAGGCAATGTTCTGGCCTTATTAATATTTTTCAATTGTCCCCTTTGGGTGAAAAAAAATTAAGAATTATGCATTAAATACATATTTCCTGCTTAGTCTCTTTCACTTTTAAAATTTTATCTTGTGTAAAGTGTGGGTATGGGGTTCCATGGTACACATGTACATGTCAGAGGATAACCTACTGAAGTCTGTTTTTACTTCCACCATGTGGATTCTCATGATGCAATTTATGTTATGAGGCTTGGTGACATGGTTCTTTATCTCCTAGCTACCTGGCTAGTGTAGAGCCCTTTAATCTATTTTAGCTTTGTCTATGACAATTCTACTCAGAATTTTTGGGTTCCGGTGCCTTACTTATTCAGCATATCCAGTTATTGAATGCTTCTCCACCTTGCATTTATCTGCTGTTTACTTAAGACTAGACTGATGCTTTTCAGCTGGAATGATATAGAAGTGATGATGAAGTCTTCTTTTCATCAGTGACTCATGCTGGTGTTTTGTTCAATTCCTATGTTGCTAACTCTGACTAGCTAGTTGAGGTAGAATCTGTAAGGATTTCCCACTGTTGCTAACTTTTTTTTCTACAGTGTAACTAGTAAGTATTATATGAAGATGTATTTTAAGAAACTTTCTGATTATCTCATTCTTCAAAAGTTTACTCACTGGTTTTAGTACATACAAATGATTCTTGTCTTAATGAATTACAGTAGAGCACTGTCCTTGTAAATCTCATTATAACACTCCAGGAAAAAGTGTACACACTTTACTACATGAAAGTGCTTGTATCCCACCTTACATTCTTTTAATTTCCTGCTTTCCATCTTATGAGCCATCATTCTGAAATATTTACAACTTTGTAATAAAAGGGCTCAATTTGGTATATATTCATACCTTATACATATTTGTACCTTATCTGGAATGTGCTTTCATGATCATGTAACAAATTTCAACTCATTCTCAGGACTACCAACAGACCACACTTTATATTGTCTGGTTAAGTGCCTCAGGGAAAGAGAAATTGCTTCACATCATTATATCACTAATAACATTCCATGGAATTAATTTTCATATTTACTTGCTTTTTTTAGAAAAGCCATAATTTAGTTTTATAGCCTCAGTTTCTAGCATAATGCCTGGTTCATAGCAGGTGTTCAGAAAACATCTTTTTTAAAATGATCAATGTATTCGGGTCAAAGCAAGTACTTTGGTGTTATGGTGTAATATAGGGGAGTGTGTAAAGATGGAAGAAATTGAAGCTGTCATCTAATCAGAGTACTTATATAAAATGCTAGAGGAGTGGGTTTTTTACATGTTACAAATTGTAACGATTGTATTTGAGCAATTCTCCCATGACCATAGAAAATAAGAGTGAAATGAGGTAAAAACTTAATTTTTTTTCCCAAGACAAGGTTTTTCTACATAGCTCTGGCTGTCCCGGAACTCACTTTGTAGACCAGGCTGGCCTCTACTTACAGAGATCTTCCTGCCTCTGCCTCCTGTGTGCTGGAATTAAAGGGATGCACCACCATTGCTCTGCTTGTTATTAGGTTTTGAATCTAAAGAACTATTAGAATAAAGGACTAACTAACAAAAGATATAAATCATGAGCTTCACTTTCATTTTTAAAATTTACTACATCCAGATAGATACAAAGATGGTGAGTTTTAAGAATTTATGAAAGAAAGCACAGACACCTGCAGAGGTGACAACTAAGACTCTAGTAGCAGATATTTGAAGAACAAAGATGGGAAGTGATCTGTGGTATCTTTGTGTTTAACAGGATTTAAAAAGCATAAGAATGATGAACAAGAGAGCTAGACAAGGAAGAAAAAAAAAGAATTAGAGCAATCATGGAAAACAGTAGGATGGTTTAGAATGAAAGGGATTTATAGCATTTGTACAATTCCATGAAAAGTAAAAAATAATTAAGAAAGTAGCATTTGCTTAGGTGACTGGTATGCCACTAATACCTTGCAAATAAGAGTTTTCAGGATAACTACAGAGCAGTTCAAGTAGTTAGTTATACAAAGTACAACCACATACGTAATGAGTATAGATAAGGTTCCACTGTCTTGTTGCACGTGCAGATAATTTTGGCCCGTCACAGTGTAGCCCCATGGAGTGGAGAACAGAGACCTGATATAAAGCTTGGGTAGTTGTTTTTAAAAGCCTGCAGTAAGAAATGGCCCTTTTCTCTGATCCATGAGTCTTATGTTTCTTTTGGCATAATATACAAAACAATGATAGGTACTCTCTTACATTTCAAAACAAGCCTTCATGTTTTTGATTTAAAATATTTTTTGTAGAAATGAACTAAATAGAAAGGGTGAGGCAGGAGGAGGAGAGAGGAAAGGAAGATGAACTACTCAAGAAGACTGTACCAGTCAATT